TAATCAAAGGAAGTTTAGCAAATTCTAACTTTACTCTCATCCATGCTAAGAAATTAGATCCAAAATACAAAAATAAACTCAATAAGCTCTAGCACACATATATAGTTATATATATATACAATATATAATGCTATATATGTATTTATTTACATTTCTACATGCAAGATGACCCACAAGCCAGGAAAAGTGCCCTCAGCAGACATCAGATCTGCCAGCACTTTGATCCTAAACTACTAGCCTCTAGAACTTTGAGTAATAAGGGTTTGCTTTTAAACCAGTCAGTCAGTGGTATTCTGTTACAGCAGCCCAAACTAAGACAGTCGATAAAGAGGAAATTTTAAAAATATTTGCAACCAAAACATTTCAAACACAGGACAAGTCACTAAAGTGCTCTTAAACTGCTCCTATTCCTTTGTGATGTCATGTTGCTTAAGATGCAAACAAGATAGGCTAGATGGCTCAGCCTGTAATTCCAGTACTTTGGGAGGCTGAGGCAAGTGGATTGCCTGAGTCCACGGGTTCGAGACCAGCCTGGGTTACTTGGTGAGACCTCGACTCTACAATCAATAAAAAATTAGCCAGGTGTGGTAGCGCGCACCTGTAGTTCCGATTACTTGGAAGGCTGAGGTGGAAGGATCACCAGAGCCCAGCAGGTCGACACTGGGGTGGCTGTGAGTGTGCCACTGCACTCCAGCCTGGACGACAGAGTGAGTCTCAAACTCAAAAAAAAAGATGCTGCCGGGCTCGGTGGCTCAGCCTGTAATCCCGCGCCTTTGGGAGGCTGAGGTGAGTGGAGTGCCTTAGCCCATGGGTTCGAGACCCGCCTGGGCAGAGAGATCTCATCTCTACAATAAATCAAAAAATCAGCCGGGCGTGGTAGCGCATGCCTGTAATTCCGGCTACTTGGAAGGCGGAGGCGGAAGGATCGCTGGAGCCCAGCAGGTCGAGGCTGCGGTGGCCGGGGGCGGCCACTGCACTCCAGTCTGGGCGACAGAGTGAGACGCCAACTCAAAAACAAAAACAAAAAGATGCTAACAAGATGATGGCTCAAAATAATCCCATGAACGCTCCCCACCTAATTACAGTAGCAACTTAATTAGTTCTATGACGTTGCCATATATTTTATAACAGCACCTTCGGCTCTTAGAGCTTCCCACTTTCTTAAAATAGTAGATATTTCTAGTAACTTTTAAAATTATTTATTTTATATTTAATGATATACAATCTAGGAGAATAATAGTAAAAACTTCCATAATTACACCGCCCTAGGACTAATATAATTTCCAATCTCAATCATAGAGTACTATTAGTAATCTTATTTTAGTAATCCGATTTTCTTCACTTATTATAAAATAAGTACTTCATGCTGCTGCAAGACTTCACATCACCGTGTTCAGAGGCTGCCTGGTATACATTATGTGACTATGCTCTGCTTCTCACTAGAATAAAGGAGACAGAATCTTCATGATTACAGCCTTTGCCCTGCATGGGAGAGAGAATCTTTATAATTCTTCTTTTTCCTATATTTCAGATTATCCCATCAAGATATTAGCACAAAAAACAATTTTTTTTTCAGTTGGAGTCTCACTCCGTCGCCCAGGCTGGAGTGCAGTGGCACCCCCACAGCCAACCCAGAGTCGACCCGCTGGGCTCCACAATCCTTCTACCTAAGCCTTCCACGTAGCCAGAACTGCAGGTGTGCGCTACCATGCCCAGCTATTTTTTATTTTTATTGTAGAGACGAGGTCTCGCCAAGTTGCCTAGGCTGGTATCGAACCCACAGGCTCAGGCAATCCTCTTGCCTCAGCCTCCCAAAGTGCTGGGATTATAGGCTGAGTCATCGAGCCCAGCCAAGGTTTTTAAAATTACCAAATCCTTTGAAAAAATTGTATTTCTTATTAACAATAGTCACTAGACTCCCTGGACTAGATGGAAGCACAAATAGAAATTTGCAATATTAGATCATTAGCCTTAATATTTTTTAAGTGACTCAAATTCTAGATTTTTATGAATTGAAAGACTTGATACTGTTAAAATATATGATCTGACGTAAAATACAAATTAAATGCAATCCTCATCAAAATGACATGTTTTTTACAGAGATAAAAAAAAATCTAAAATATATATGGAACTACAAAAGACCTCAAATAGCCAAAACAATATTGAGAAATAAGAACAAAATTAGAGGCACTACATTTCCTGATTTAAAAATGTACTACGAAGCTACAGTAAATTAAAACAGTATGGTACTGGCATAACACACACATGTAGATCAATGGAACAAATAGAGAGTCCAGAAGTAAGCCAACATATATAGAGTCAACTAATTTTTGACAAGGGTACAAGAGTAATGGGAAAAAATAATCTCCTCAACAAATGGTGTTGGGAAAACTGGTTATCCAGATGGAAAAGAATGAAATTGGACAATCTTACATTGCACCTAAAAATCAACTTAACATGTATTAAAAACTTCAACATAAGACCTGAACTGTAAAATTCTAAGAAAAGAAACATAGGAGGAAAGCTTCTTGACATTGGCCCTGGCAATGATTTCTCAGATATGACACCAAAATCACAAACAACAAAAGCAAAAATAGACAAGTGGTATTATACCAAACTAAAAATGTTCTCTGCAGCAAAGGAAACAATCAACAAAATAAGAAGGCAGCCCACAGAATGGAAAAAATTATTTGCCAGCCATATATCTGATAAGAGATTAATATCCAGAATACATAAGGAACTCCTACTACTCAACAGTCAAAAAAAAAATTGTAATGGGAAAAGAATTTAAATGGACATTTCTCCAAAGAAGACATATAAATGGTCAACAGGTTTCTGAAAAGGTGTTCAACATCACAAATCATCAAGGAAATGAAAATCGAGCCATAGTGAGACACCATCTTGTACCTGTTAGGATGGCCATTACCAAAAAGACAAAAGATAACTGTTGGCAGAGAAAAGGAAACTTGTGCACACTCTCAGGAACATGTAAAATGGTGCAGCTGCCATGGAAAATAGTATGGAGACTCCTCAAAAAATTAAAAATACAACCATATGATCCAGCGATCCCATTTTCGTGTATATACCTAGAAGAACTGAATTCAGGATCTTGACAATATGCCTGCACTCCCCTGTCCACTGCTGCATTATTCACAGCAGCCAAGATAAGGAAACAACATAAATGTTCAAAGACGATGAATGAATAAAGAAAATGCGGCGTATCCATACAACAGGACAGTCTTCAGCCTTTAAAAGGAAGGAAACCCTGCCAAACATGACAGCCTGGATGAATCTGGAGGATACTATGCTCAAGTGAAATAAGCCAGGCACATAGGACAAATACCGCGGGATTCCACTTACATGGGGTATTTATTTAAAATGTCTTCATAGAAGCGGAGAGGAGAAAGGGGGTTACCAGAAACTGAAGACAGACGGAAATGAGGAATTGCTGCTTAGCTGGCATCACGTTTCAGTTCTTGGTTTTATTTAAAATAATAAAACATGTATTGGGTTTTTAATTCAGAGAGATATAAAGAAAAAATATACAAGCAAAACTGGCCCATCAGTTCCGTGCTCAAATTACTGTTGTCAACACATTTTAATGAAAGCAATTTATGTACTCAGATAGAAAATGGAACTGCACAGGAAAAAAATACCACATAAAATGTAAAATCCTCCATGCCCTGCAATCCTCCCTGAAGCTATTTACTGCTCCAATTTTAGTCCGAAGTGTAGAATCTATCATCCCTCTGGGGCAAAGAGGAGAACTTGAAACTCAGAAAAACATGGAACAGAAGACATCTTCCCTCTATTTTTTTTTTTTAAAAACTGTATCTAGGTGCTATCATAATATAGGAAATTGAAGGTAAAGAGGTAGAGATGATTCTTTCAAGATATTTTGCTATTAAAGGGAACAGAGTGGTGGGAATACAAACTAGTGCAACCTCTTTGGAAGACAGTGTGGCGATTTCTGAAAGAACTAGAAACTGACCTTCCATATGACCCAGCAATTCCCCTATTGGAAATATACCCAGAGGAACTCAAATCATTCTACAAAAAAGATACCTGCACACATATGTTTGTTGCAGCTCTATTCACAATAGCAAAAATATGGAATCAACCATGTTGCCCATCGAAGCTGGACTGGATAAAGAAAATGTGGTATGTATACACAGTGGAATATTATGCAGCCATAAAGAAGAACAAATATATGGACTTCGCAGCAACTTGGATGG